CATGGTCACTTTGGAAGAGAGTCTGGGGGTTTCTTACAAAACAAACATACTCTTACCATACAATCTCGCCATCTCACTCCTTGGTATTTATTTACCCAAAGGATCTGAGAACGTATGATCATGCAGAAACCTGCAAATGGATGTTTACAGCAGCCTTATTCATAATTGCCAGAACTTAGAAGCAACTAAGATGTCCTTTAGTAGATAAATGCATAAACTGTGGTCCATCCAGACAATGGAACATTATTCAGTGTTAAAAAGAAATGAGCTATCAAGCCATGAAAAGACATGGAGGAACCTTAAATGCAATTACTAAGTGAAAGAAGCCAATCTACAAGGGACACACACTGTACAATTCCTACTGTATGACATTCTGGGAAAGGCAAAACTATGGAGATAGCAGAAAGATCAGAAGTTGCCAGGAGGCAGAGGGAAGAGAAGGATTAATAGGCAGAGCAAAGAGGATCTTGGGGGCAGTATAACTATTCTGTATGATACTGTAATTGTGGATATATGTCATTATACATTTGTTCAAACCCGTATTATGTACAATACCAAGAGTGAACCCAAATATTTACTATGGGCTTCAGGTGATTATGATATATCAATATAGGTTCATCAATTGTAGCAAATGTACCACACTGGTGGGGATGTTGAAAATGGGGGAGGCTGTATGTGGAGGGGGAGTGGAGCCAGGTGGTATATAGGAAGTCTCTATATTTTCCTCCCAATTTTGCTATGAGCCTAAAACTAGTTTTGGGGGGTTTTTTTTGTTTTGTTTTGTTTTTTTCAGCTGTGCCACATGGCTTGTGGGATCTTAGCTCCCCAACCAGTGATTGAACCCGGACCTCTGACAGTGAAAGCGCCAAGTCCTAACCACTGGACCGCCAGGGAATTCCCCTAAAACTACTTTTAAAAATAGTTTCTAAATTTAAAAAAATAGATAAGACTGGTAAAATCCAAATTAGGTCTACAGTTTAGTTAATAGTAGTGTCGCAAAGTCCATTTCCTACTTTTGACAATATACTATAGCTAAAGACGTTATCACCAAGGGAAGGTGGGTGCTAGGTACACAGGAACTCCGAGACTTTTTGTGAGTCTAAAATTATTTCAAAATGTTTTTAAATTAAATAAAGCCACTTTTTATTATTGATGTGCGAGGAGACGCACAGAATCCACCAGCCCTATGATTGAGAACATTTTTATCAGCAGAGTTACGGGTTCATATGAGCCTAATGGAGAAAACTCCACAAGTGAGTCTGCCTGGTGATCACATTGCTTACAGAATGTCATGCGGCTTGTTTACGTGCAAGAAGCAGAGAGCTGAACAGCTGGGCCAAGGGAACAAGACTGCTCCTGTTTAGAGACTCTTGGCTCAGCACTGGTTCCTCTCGTCCGAGCATCTTCTCTGGAACATCTTTAGGGTCGATTGTGTCAACCCCACCCTAGGGAATGCATGTTATTTACAGCTGCAAGAAGCACATATAACACCTTCACTGCTTGTGAATCCTCAGTGGTTTGGTGGGCTTTGCCCGGTGTTTCATAGTCTTTGGATTTTAGGGTGACATAGAAATGCTTTTGGTATGATGTCCACTGTAGGGTTCTTTATAACAGCAAGAACTGGAAACAACCAAACTGCCCAATTATGAGGGGAACGTTAAACTATGATACTCATCCTTATGCAGCCATTAAAAGTAGTTAATAAATGCATTTTCATAAAATGAAAAAAGGCCTATGAAATGAGGATAAAGAAAAAAGGCAATATTTATAATGCCTAAAGTACGTAGGTGCCCCCGTCTGGCCTTTGACTGTGAGGTTATTCTAACTCAGAAGTGAAGTATTCTCAGCAAACCATCTGGCCACTCATCTAAGCCACATTCTCCAGTAGAGCTTCATCACTGATAAAGCTGACATTTTAATCTCCATCAAAAAAAATGCTCATTTACAGTGTGACCTCAACCATGTCTAAAAATATATCCAAAAATTCCCCCAAGGAAAAGAACCAAAAAGCATTTTCCAAATCTTATTTAGTGAATACATTTTAATTTCATTCTTAAAATAAACACATGAATGACACCATGTAATTTTAAAAGGCAATACAGGAGTTTGCCTTTATTACAGTGTTTCCTGACACAAATTATATATTGAAAATTACACATCCAGATCTGGAAAGGCAAACTGGTTTCCTCTAGCAAGCCAACTGCAATGGATTAGCAGTATTTGCCCAAGATGTTGAAGTCTCATCTCGGATCAGTGAAACAGTGACGCTTGATTTCTTCATAATGTTTGCTGTGGGTAGCAATAGGGAATGTAGGAGATGCATACTGCTTATTTTCTGATATGGATGAAAATTTCTACCACACAGATAGATGTGAAAGGAAGAAAAAAGAGTGGGGGAATGCAGTGGGCAGAAAAATGCCCTCCCCAAAGATGACCACGTCCTAATCCCTGGAACCTTATGTGGCAAAAAGGAATTAAGACTACAGCTAGAATTAAGGTTATTGATCCACTGACTTTAAGATAAGGACATTGTCCTGGGTTATCCGAGTGGGTGCGCTGTAATCACAGGGTCTGTTCAAACTGGAAGAGGAAAGCAGAAGAGGACAGTCAGAGGAGAAGAGAGATGAGGGATGCTCACCTGGCTCTGAAGACAAGACGAAGGGGCCACGAGCCGAGGAGTGCGGACGGCCTGTAAGAGCCAGAGAAGAGCAAGGAAATGGATTTTCTCTTAGAGCCTCTCCAGAAAGAACACGTCACCTGCGTGTTAGCTCAGTGCGACCTGTGCTGGAATTCTGAACCACAGAACTATAAGACAATAAACTTGTGTTGTTTAAGTTACAAAGCTGGAGTAATTTATCACAACAGGAATGGAACACTACTACAGGGGTGGACAGAGAGGAAAGGGAAAGGGCAATTACAGTTTGGACGAGGGTGGCTGGCAGGAATCAATTTCATTTTGCCTCATCAGCCCCAGTTAACCGAGAAGCACGACTTACACGCATGTGTACAAGAAGAGCATCCTGACCTGGGGGAAGGGAGAAGCCTGGGGTTGAATTAGTGGTTCTCATTCGGGCCGAATCTCATCCGCAGCTGGGGCACCGCTCAGCAGGGGGACCCCTACATCCACGGAGAGGCCGTGGGAAACGGGCCATGACCCAGGGCCCAGCTTAGTCGGGCTCCTGAGGCCCCAGAGTACAACCATGGGATGGCAGGAAAAAGCTGAGAACCACACATGAGAGGGACACCTTCAATCAAATCACCCCCAAATGCACTTCTGCACACAAAGCAAAGATTCCACAAATCTGAGGAACAAGTCAATGAGGACTTCAGGGCAGAGAGACTGTCTGTTGTGTCTGGTTAGGAAGGGAAGATGCTCCACACGGAAACTGAGGAATGAATGAGAAGTCTAGCTCCGATTCTGAAACAGCGAGGACAGAAATCAACCTCCCTGGGTCTACATTTCTCATCTATAAGGCAAGAGTTGCCCTAACTCTGCATCCTCTAGTCCTACAATTGCACTAGTCTAAGAAAATCCAGAGTCCCCCAGAGAAACACATCTATGAGAGGTGGAATGCGACATTAAGCTCTTAATTTTAATTACGTGCAAAGTATGCAAACATGGAACATCCCAGTTGAGACATTTGGCACTCCTGCTGGGTGACACGTGGGTCTCACCTGAGAAACTCGTGTTCAGTGCAGACCTGAAAGCAGCTACAGAAGCGACAGGCACAGCAGCCTCAGGTTCCCCAACTGCTCCCTTTCTGCCGTCAACGAGGGACTGAGAAGATCTGGTGAGAGACGCTCAGGCCTAGGGCTTGGAGGCAAAGCCCCAGTTCTCACTCCCTCACCTCCTGGATAGTCAAAGCACATGAGCCCTCATCCCCACCGAGCCACCTGGTTTCTTAACTACAAGAGGAGAGATCACGAGGCTTCAAGTGACTTCATCCCAAGGCTGTCCTGAGCATCAGATGAGCTTGTCGTCAGGGAGGGTCCTCGTACCTCAGAAGGGTGACAGACGGCATAGGCTGGCCACTATTATAACGGCGACTGAAGCCCGTGGATATGGGCATCGAGGAAAGATTCGTGGGGGTCACTTAACTTACGTGAGATGCAGGTTGTTCAGCTGTCCAATCTGGGCAATGATATCTACTGTGTGGAGATCAGAGTTGAGGGGGGTGAAGCTCCTGGCACAGTGCAGGGACACAGTAGATGCTCAATAAATATAAATGCACCTCTGAGTGTGGTAGCCCAGGGTCCTTCCACGTTCTGCCTACCGCCCTCTGGGACTTAGCAGTGGACATGATTTCAACAAACATCTCAGAGCATCGTGTCCCCACCTTCACATGCACGTGCCAGCAGCAAGAGCATCGATTTCAAGGGTCAAGTTGCTGAGGGCTGAGCAGAATTTTTTATTAAACAAATTCACTGGACCAGAGTTCTTGTTGTCAGTAACTGCACCATAAGCAGTGGCCAAGGGGATATTACCATCTACATGAAAGAAACATCAACTGGAGGTATTAAAAGAATAAGGAAAGCCACGGGCTCCCGAGCCCCTGTTACACGCTAGCACCGTGGTGGGCACATGAGCGCCATTTCCAGCTCTTACAAGAACCTGCCAACAGGGCATCATCACACCTGCCGTATCAGGGGTTCACCTGAGACAATCCAGGATCTGACAGCACACACTTGTCCTTAAAGCACATACTCTTTGCTCTAAATCACTCCATTTTTTTATGGTGAGAAGGTGCCTTTCTCTAGTCTGCGTCCTCTTACACTCTGTTCCTGGACTTGGTCCCCAAAGTACAGAGAAGCGCTACACTTGCAGAAGGAGAGGGCATGCAGTCAGCCGAGCTACGCCCCAGACTCCACGTGCACTGGCTGAGCAGGCCCAGAAGGGAAGGGGATGCTCCAAAACAACGAAAGGAGGCTCCCTCCGTCTTCATTTTGAAGAGCAGTGCGCTTCCGACTTGAATACCCGCTCCGGCGCCGAGCCCGCTTACCTTGAAGGAGGCGTGCTGCTCCATGTGCCGCAGCAGCTGTGGCTTCTGGGCTGCTGTGTAGTCACACACCGTGCACTTGAACTGCTTCCCTGAGAAGAACGGAGAAGAAGGGGAGCGCCGTCAGGCCGCAGCCCCTGCGTTGTGAGTGGGGCGCGCATGAAGGCACGAAGAGGCCCCGTGCCGTCGGGGGTGTCCAGAGCATCAGGGGGAACTGGCAAGGAAGTGCACAGCCGCAAGGCAGCATGCTCCGTCTAGCCCAGGGGAGGCTGGGGGGCCGGACGCCAGGGGCCTCAGTGTCTCCCTAGGAGTGTGGACGCCATCCCGAGAGCCAACAGCACCTGCAGAATGCCCTTCAGCAAGAGAAGAGATCTGTGTTTTGGAACTCGTAGGAGTGTAAAAGGCAGATTTCAGGAGATGCTAGAGAGAAAACGACAGAGAAGTGTGAAACGTGGCTCTTTTGAGAGGATTAATGTTTCCGCAATTTATAAACGTTCAGTAATGTGATAAACAAGCCCACATGTTAAGTCAATGGATATATGGGGCAGGCTACATTTTTTTGGTTGTGTTTTGTCTTTGTTTTTTGTTTTTTGTTTTTTTTTGGCAGTACGGGGGCCTCTCACTGTTGTGGCCTCTCCCGTTGCGGAGCAACAGGCTCCGGACGCGCAGGCTCAGCGGCCATGGCTCACGGGCCCAGCCGCTCCTTGGCACGTGGGATCTTCCCGGACCGGGCCACGAACCCGTGTCCCCTGCGTCGGCAGGCGGACTCTCAACCACTGCGCCACCAGGGAAGCCCCCAGGCTACATTTTTTAACCCTGAGGAGCAAAAATAAAACCTCAACTCGCAATAATACAAACGTGCAACCAAATAAAAATATGGCCTCTACTCCTCACAGCAGCGACCCTCCCCACGCAGCTACTAATGGCTCTAAGCCTCCGGAGGCAGCAATGACCACAGTCACTGCACGTGGTGCCACAGAAACACCGGCTCCCTCTGGGAACCTCTCACACCTTTCCTTCCCAGACGAGCTGGGTGAAAAAGCTGTCCACCTCTGCAGCCCCCGTGCTCCTTTTCTATCCACTCCTGAGCCCACCCCAAAACTGGCAGGTGACACCAGCTCGCCCCAAAACCTGTCTCGCCAAGGTAACCAGGGACCTCCATGACGCCAAGCCAATGGCAGACTTCAGTCCTTATTTGACAGGACTCTACTGCACGTGGCTCTGCTAACACCGCGCTTGGGAAACCCTCTGCTCCTCTGACGCCACGCCACTACTGCCTCTCCGTGCCTCTCTGTTCGTTCTGTGTATCCCGGAAACACCCTCTCCCGTCTACAGCTTTTACACACTGAGGTCCCAGACTGCTCCAGCCCACACCCCCACTCTTCTCCTACAGGCATCCTTGCATGTCAAGCTTTGAGGTCAAAATCTACCCCTTCAACGCATACTTTTACACCTTCCACCCTTCCCTAAACTTGAGATTTGAGTATTCAACTGTCTGCTGGATTACCGCTTAGCTGTCCCAAATGTCCTAATTTGGACTCTCTGCCTCACCCATCATATGGGTTCCACCTCCAGCCTTCCTAGTTTATCACCCACCTGATCGCCCAAGTCAGAGACCCAGTAGCCTTCCTCAACATCTCCATGACCCCAACTTCACCCACCTTATTTTTTAAGCACCTGATTTCAACTCCCAGTATTTTTCTATTTCTCTCTGTTTCTAAAACCTCCACACTGGTTTAGGCCCTCCTCATTTCTTTCCTGGACAATGGCAAAAGCCACTGCTCAAATGGATTGGTTTCCTTTCTTTCAGGCAACCCTCCCATCCATCTATCACCCACCCACTGCCCCCGCTCCAACCATCATCCAACCATCCTGATGCCCCATGCTCCATCCTTGATCTAACACACAAAGTCATCCACAGCCCTTGCTGCACAGCCCACCAATGACTCCAAATACAGATCAAGGGTGAAGTTCCAAAGCATGGCATGGAGGGCACCCAAAATCAAAGTAACTCTCCCCCCGATCCCTCTCTCTGACTTCCTGTTTTGCCTTTGCAGTCTAAGAACCCTGAGCCTCTGCTAACATCTTCCATGCCTGAGATGCACTGTCTCTTGGCATGTGGTCATTCTTCACTTTAACTCAAAACTCCAGTTGAACAACGTCTCTGGTACAAGCGGGCTAAGAGCCAGCCCCCTGAAGCTCCCACACACACTCTCACACACTCTGTCCATGCCCTGGCCCTGCAGCATGGTCATGACCTGCCGTTGGCCTCCCATCGGCAGGAACCATGTCTTAGTCATCTTGGCACTCCTAGTGCCTGAGCGCCTGGCACACAATGAACATATTCTGTGCATTCTACTAAACTGAGCTGGGCAAGAAGCAAAAAGGAAACTTTGTACATCTTACTTGACTTATGCTCTCAATAGCAGCAGCAAAAGGGAAACAATAATATAAACACGTTAATACTGCAATTGTACCTATCATTCCAGGCGAAGGACCCCCAAACTCTAGATTCTACTAATTCTGCAAGTCCAAAGTATGAGGAAAACGTTTTCATATGTAAGGCAGAAAAGTCATAATTAGAGCGCAGTTAACACCTTCCCTTGAACACAGTACCATCTTTTTCAAACAGAAGGGCTAGGCATGGCTACACATCTCCTGTATAAACTCGGACTCCCATACTTGTCCACTGGTGTGTGACTCGTCTGAATACATCATGACTGTGCCAGGCAGCCTGAGCAGAATGTTGTCTAGGTTCCCCACTGGCACCATGCGGGGAGGAAAGCTGATATCCACGTTGATAAATATTTTCACTCACTACCAATACACTTGGATCAAAGAGTAGGAGATTAAGCTAAAAATGATTAGTGCCTGAAATGAATAAATGGCATCACCTCGTTTGAGGTCCACAGTCAACCTTTTATGAATATACTCCCAGGGCTCGCCAGAGACAAAGAAAGAAGGCAGCTCTTAAAAGCCATCCCTTATGAGGCGTCAGAGTGCAGGCAATAAATATTACAAATGTTTTCAGCGACCAGTGACGCCCCCCCCCCCCCCCCCACCGAACAGGCTGGGAGAGCACTTGACATAATCTTTTGCTGCCTAATTAAAATAATGCAATATAGATGCGTGACTAATCATAAAAATGTAATGATTTGAGACTATCAGATTGTTTTCTATCAAGATACTCCTGAGAATCACAGGGAGAATTGTCTAGAAAATGCAGTATTTACCCGAGGTTAGAGTGACCTCAAAGGGCTGGTAGGTGCACAGCAAATGGCTGTATCGGATGTGAGTCATACAGCAGCCCAGGAAAAGAAGGGAATGATGACAAAGAAAAAATGAGGTGGACTTTTTAAAAAACTTAATTCATTTTGCACACAACGTGCCCGGCTAGCTCTACGTAGCGAGCTGCTGGCCGTCAGCAGCTGTGCCAGGACATGGCGTGTCTGATCTCCTCGCGCTGCCCAGAACCTGGGGAGGCAAGGCAGGGCACCCCTCTTATGGATGAGGGACTAGGAACATGAAGATGAGCAACTTGCCAGGTTGTGAAGCAGTCGGTGGCAGAGCCTGGATTTGGACCCCAGAGCTCTGACTCGGCTACGTAAGAATCCTCTTGGCTAATAAGGACATGGCATGATTTCTCCAAGGGGAACAAAGAATTTCCAACAGCAAAAGGGGCACATGTGAACCACACGCGTAAAGCCTGGTCCCGCAGGGTGGCGGCCCCAGGAAGCACCAGTGTGGCAGCGGAGGGGGCGCTCTCCTGCAGCCCCGGCCGGCTCACCTGTGAGGTCCGGGGTTCATTCCTCCCTGCTGTTCAGTGTGTCCCCACTAGAAAAATGGGGAGGCAACCTCTGCCTGCTGCCAGGATGGGCTCAGACTCTGGGTGGCAAGCACCCGAAAAGTGGGCCCCCGAGAGAAGAGGCTGAGGGTGTGTGCAGGTGACCCAGCAGCGGACCCTGCTCTGCCATGGCCACTGGGGCAGCACCCCTCAAATCCTAGTGTTCTGACCTCCCTGACACTCTCGGGGACGATCCAAGGATAGGTCCAGTTAAGCCAGCCTGAGATAATATTCCTTAAAATAGAAAGAATACAAACAGAGAAAGGAAAATAACAACATGTAAGTAACATAATATCAAAGAGTTCACAGAAGGCTTTCCGCATCCTGCCCCCAGAAACTGCTCTGGCCTTGTCTCCACCCACAGCAAGCCATGACCACCTGGCAATGGCTGGTGGGACCCTCCCCGTTACCTCCTGTGCTCAGCCATGACCCTCGGCCCCCTCTCTCCACCCCAAGGACATAGCACAGTCATGCCACCTCGAGGCCTTTACACTTGCTATTCTGGGGCCTGGGGTGCCCTTCCTTCCATGCTCTGCTGGCTGGTTTCCCTTCCATGACCATCCCTGTCATCCTTTACTGATTCATTTGTGACATCCCTCATCTTGTAACATTTTCATATTGAAATTGAACCGTTTCACATTCATATTTTCATACCTCAATTTTCTCAATATTTAAGATATTTCTTCATATCTCAATTGTAATATACCCCCTATTTTATTGATTTATCTTGTTTCTTATTCAGCTTCATGACAGTGGGGTGTTTCGTTTCTGCTTTGGTTGTTGTTCGTACTACCCGCTGCTGTAGCCGAAGTGCCTAATTCCAAGTGGCTCACCAATTCATCTCTGGTTGGTCCACCTGGCACCCTCGGTGGGCTGCAGGTACTTTGGGGACAGGGACAGTAGACTTCTCATTCCACATCCTTGTGCCCGGCAGCGAGAGCATGCCAGCTAGCAGCAAGTCACAGGGCCGTCCCAGCAGGATGTCTGCTCAGCCATGTGCCCTCTCCCTCCCCACAGCCACCACCATCACACAGGGCACCACCAGAGCCTTGTATACGGCCCTGCCCACCATCCCTGCACTCCCAGCCACAGGTAATGGGACCGCTGTGGACCAGTGACCCAAGCTGAGCCAGGAATCTGAACTGTCGGGATCTGAAGCATGTAACTCAGAAGCTATTGGTCATTATATTTTCAATCTGTGGATGAAATAAGAACACAAACCAGTCTGCAAAGGGAGACGGAGACAGA